TGTCTCAAAACAACTGGTATTGTTCTGATATACACTAAAAGCAATCCTGATAATATTGACAATTACACGCCAATATCGTTATCACCAATTTTTTCGAAAATTTTTGAGAAACTGATGCTACAGCATGTTACGGAATATCTGAACAAATATAACCTTGTAACATTATAACAATTTCATTTCATCGTAAAGGCCTCTCAATTTTACAGCCATCATTGCACTAGTCGATAAGATAATCTACAGCTTTGAACGTAAAGAATATTACTCAATCCATTTCGTAGATCTCAGTAAGGCTGTTGATTGCGTAACTCACGATATTCTGCTAAGAAAATTATATTACTATAACTAGCTGACCCGGTGAACTTCGTTTCACCTACAATTTAATTTTGAATCTGCAAAACCGAATGCTTTGAAAACTTGCAGATGTTTTAAACATATGATAAGCATAATAAATTTTTATTCAAAATATATTTACTTACCCCCTCCAAAAAATTGATGAAGTCAGCCCAAAATTTTGCCAAATGAATCCTATCTAAAATGTCCAAAATAGGATGAGACTATACTTGTGATTTAGCATTCCATTCATATTTTTACTTCCCGAGCATAAGCAAAGGAAGTATTGTAATCGAGTCCGTCGGCCGACTCTCTACTTTTACGTTTTCTCGATCTTTCATGACCCCTAGAAGACGAAGAAATAGGTCTCCCATTTCCGTCTGTCTGTCCGTCTGTCCGTCTGTCTGCCGTCCCGGATTTTTATTAGACAGAAAATCTCCGAAAGTACTCGACCGATTGTTGTGAAATTTTGTAGTTATATTAGGAATATCATGTAGATGGTAAAACGCTAACCAAAATTTGTCTAATCATCCCCACCACTAATGTGATGACGTCACTTCAAAATTGTACATAGTAAATGGGTTTTAAATTGTATAAAATAATATAGTCCTAAACATGTATTTTACGACTCCGAATTGAGTTTTTACCCGAAACGTTCAGATTTTTGGAAAAAAATCAAAATTATAAAACAACATTTTGCAATTTAATTTTGAATCTGCTAATCCCAATGTTTTGAAATGTTGCAGATGTTTTAAGGCTAAAGAGCATCATAAATTTTTACTCAAAATATATTTGGATATCCCCTCCAAAAATTTGATGACGTCAGCTCAAAAGTTTGCCAAATAAATTCTATGTAAAATGTACAAAATATGATGAGTCTGTGCTTGTGCTATATCACTCCATTCATATTTTTTGGATTTGCATATACAGGGTGACTCAAAAAAATTAATGAATGCGTAAATTTATTTTACTGATTTACTCAGGAACTACAAAACCGAATGCTTTGAAATCTTGAAGTTGTTTTAAAGTTATCATAAGCACGGTAAGTTTTTGATCAAAATGTATTTGCTCATCCCCCTAAAAAATTTATGACGTCACCACAAAATTTTGCCGAATAAATCCTATCTAAAATGTACAAAATATGGTGAGTCTCTTCTTGTCATTTATCATTCCAATCAAATTTTTTCGATTTCCATATACAGGATGACTCAAAAAAATTAATAAATGCGTGAATTTATTTTATTGAGTTAATCAGGAACTACAAAACCGAATGCTTTGAAATCTTGCAGATGTTTTAAGGTTATAAAGAGCATAATAAATGTTTAGTCAAAATATGTTTGCTTATCCCCTCCAAAAAATTGATGACGTCAGCTCGAAACTTTGCCGAATAAATACTATCTAAACTGTACAAAATATGATGAGTCTGTACTTGTAATTTATCACTCCATTCATATTTTTTGGATTTGCATATACAGGGTGTCTCAAAAAAATTAATGAATGCGTAAATTTATTTTATTGATTTACTCAGGAACTACAAAACCGAATGCTTTGAAATCTTGAAGTTGTTTTAAAGTTATCATAAGCACGGTAAGTTTTTGATCAAAATGTATTTGCTCATCCCCCCTAAAAAATTTATGACGTCACCACAAAATTTTGCTAAATAAATCCTATCTAAAATGTACAAAATATGATGAGTCTTTTCTTGTGATTTATCATTCCATTTATAGTTTTTGGATTTGCATATACAGGGTGACCCAAAAAAATTAATGAATGGGTTTATTACTATTTTTAGTCAAAATATATTTGGTTATCTTCTACAAAAAACTGATGACGTCAGCTTAAAAGTTTTCCGAATAAATCCTATCTAGGATATACAAAATATGATGAGTCTGTACTTGTAATTTATCATTCCATTCATATTTTTAGAATTTGCATATACCGGGTGACTCAGAAAAAAAAATGAAATCTACTGCGAAAAAAAAAAACAATAGACATGCAGTCGTCACGTTTCCGACAGCGAGGGAAGTACTGTCTAAACCCTTTAGACCAATTTTTTAGTTTTGCTTATAGGGAGTGTCTCAAAAAAATTAATCATTGAGTCAATTTATTTTATTGATTGAATCAAGAATTGCAAAACTGAATTTTGAAATATTGCAGACGTTTGGAAGTTACTGTTTGACATGGTAGATTTTTAATCAAAATATATCTGTTTATCAAGCCCAAAAATTTGATGACGTCATCCCAAGATTTTGCCGAATAAATCCTATCCAAAATGTGCAAAATATCATCAGTATATTTTCGTAATTTATCATTGCATTAATATTTTTTAGATTTGCTTTTACAGTGACTCAAAAAAATGTATGGATCAGTCAATTTATTTTAGAGAATAAACTCAAGAGTTGCAGAAATGAATACTTTGAGATCTTGCAGACGTTTTAAAGTTATTGTAAGCATGGTAAATTGTTAAGAATATTTATTTATTCCTCCCAAAAACTTGATCGAATGGCTCACTCGATTTTCGCAGATAATTTTGGGAATACAGTACAGTTATTTTTAGTATTACACTGCACCAATCCAAGATGGTATACGTGTTGATCGTAAATGTTGATTAGGTCATCACAAAATTGTGTGAAGAAAAGACTCAACTCGAAAATGCTGAATATGTTTCATTATACTTTTGGTGGGAAGGAAGTTCTGTCGAAACAACGTTCGATCAATTTTTTGACAATGGTTGATATAAATAAAACTCAGTGGATGCTCATACTCGAAATACGAAGTATCTACTCGAATATCAAATCAAAATATTTCTAGTTTTTCTAGATGATGCTAATACTTCAGTAGGTAACAGTTGATGCTCAAGTAGCATCTCGATACAACAAAAACGGAAAACAGTGCCAGTCTTCAACCATTAAAACAAAAATCGAGTCACCAAAATATAAGTTAGTATGGGGTAGACACCTTGAGATGTGAATCTCTATGGCCAGTTGTAGAAAGAACGCACTGCACAATAAATAAAAGTTAATTACCTGAAAAGTTTTCGATATTCCCGCTCCTAATGTGTTTTTCAAACTGAATGCACCTTTTGACGACGCTCCACGTTCATGAAAGTTGCCATGTTTAGTCAAAATTCACTCTTACAACGATCTTACTCATTTTCTAAGCTGCTTTACAGACAGCTCAGTTATTTGCCACGGCGATGCTCATTTTAAGATTAAATGCTCACAAAACGCGTAGATGTTCAATGTCCGGGGAGATACAATGTTTCCAAGTAGGTACTCAGTACATAGAGTAGATGCTCAGGTATATAGGAGTAATAATGAAGTAGGTACTTTGTACTTCGAATATGAGTATCTACTCACTTTTATTCATACCACCCAATGTCTCGCTTCAATGTTTGATTATGTTGATTATGAGCGCAACGCTGATCAACTTCCGTATCCGAATTACCCATGAAATAAATCATTGCGATTTGCACCTGAGGTAGTTCGTCGCACATTTGATTGACTTCGTGGACCTATGTCAGCTTGTCGTCTTCTCGGCATTGTAATGAACTTCAATAAACGACACAGAATTATTTTCACATTTTCAATCAAATCTGTAAATTTTGTCTTGAGAATTTTAAAATACTGAAAACTTCAAATCAAATCCTCGAATAACGGTAAAGTTTGAGGTTTTGTCGAAACCAACAAAGTGAACATTGGTAAATAGAATGGCAGATCAAAATTAATAAGAAACTTTCGCAATGCGTAACTGAATTCACTTTAACGAACACTTTTCTTGAAATAAACGACGTTTTTTGGTACGAAAAAACAAACAACGACTTGAAATGCAATAATACTTTTCACAATCGCACGGAAGAAATAGTTTTGTGTGACACGTCAGTCAGCCGACAGTCCGTCAGAAACGGCCAACTATTCAAATTGATACGAAATGGCGATTCCCGTGCAAAATTTTAAAAATTTTTTTTATCTTTAACCGGTCTCATTTTTTATAAATATTCTTACATATAAACCTTCTCCTGACGATAAGGAACACGTAAAAAAAAGAATCGTCCGATTCGGTGCGGCCGTTCTGAAGTTATGAGCGTACATACATTTCGGCGATTCATTTTTATTAATATAGATTTCCAACTACCGAGTATAAATCTGATTATGAGTATCCATTCAAAACAAATCATAATGTACTTATTGTATTAATTATGGGTTTCCTCAAGGGTCCATTTTGGGACCAATATTATATTTACTATATATGTTACGGTTAAAGTGAATACTCGGCTAGTTTCCAAACTATCTGGTTGTTATGCAAACTAACCAAGTCGCTAGTTATTATAGACGAAAAACTATTTTCTCTTACATTAGCAGGGTTTCTTGGTTAATTTGTAAACTGCCCAGCTAGTTTATAAACTACCGTACAAGTTTGGATAATTTACATACTTTTTTTAAAGTACATAGATTAACCGAAATAATTGGTTAGTTTACAAACCAGCCACTTTGTTCTGGTTAAAATAAGAACTTTTTCTCTAGTACGATAAAACAACCAATGAATTGTATCATATTTTAGGCAGTTAGTATGCAAACAGACAGTTGTTTTAGTGTTCAATGCAGGCTAGGTATGTGAATTTTGAGGTTATGTGCTGTTTTCTGATCATGGATGTCATTTCAACGATAACAATGGAGCATCGTCAAAAGTTTGATGTTGCAATTAAGTTGTTGCACAATGCTAAAGCAAAAAACTCCCAAATTGTAACCAAAAGTGAATTAGATGGCCTCGTGGAGAAGTTGAAGGAATTACGCAGAGTAGGACCAAATAGCAAAAATAAAAACGATTATTATTTAATAAAAAAGTATGAACTTCAACTTGCAGACGAAAATTATAGTGTTATTAAAAAAGGAAGTGGAAAAATAATTGTAAGCACCAACGATTTATATGACGCCGTAAAAACGGCCCACCAATCTACAGGTCATGGAGGGCGAACTGTCACATTGAAAGAGTTAAATGAAAAGTTTGCCAACATTTCTCAAGAAATTGTGTCGCTCTTCATTGAAGGGTGCGGCAGTTGTCAAATGAAGAGAAACAAAACCAGAAAAGGACTTGTAGTAAGACCTACAACGTCCCATATTTTTAATTCTCGATGTCAAGTCGACCTCATAGATCTACAGACACGTCCTGATGGATGTTACAAATTTATATTTGTTTACCAAGACCATTTAACGAAATTTGTTCCCCTACGATCACTGAAAACAAAAACGGCCAAAGAAGTTGCTTACAATTTAATTGATGTGTTCACAGATTTAGGTAGTCCATGTATTTTACAAAGTGACAATGGAAGAGAATTTGCTAACCAGGTGAGTACCAATAGTTAAAAGAGAGGTTTTCAAAAAATATTCGATTACACTGACTGATAAGATATACCTAATAATAATTAATTCAAAACATGGATTACCGTAAATGGAGTTTTGAAACAATTGTATAGTCGTAACGAGTTTGAACTGTGCAAACAAAACTTTTTAAACCTGGACGATGTAAAAAAAGAAACAGAAATAACTCTATGAGGAGCAGTCGGGAAAAATTCAGTATCAGGAACAATTCAAGGTTATGTTAGATGTCATTGCAAGAAAGGATGCGGTAGCAAAAAATGTAAATGCCACAATAGCGGTTCTTGCAAAAACAAGTAAAAAAATGTATTAGAAATCGAAATAGAAATTATTTCATCAGTTGATGTTTTTACGTTGTCTTTTCATCAGAATTTATTTTGTGTTTATGTTTTTTTTATAGTTATGTTTCATATAATTCTTCCAATCAGTTTACCTTTTCTAAGTGTTGCAATTATTATTTTTTTAATAAAAAATATTGTCACTCTATGCCATTCAGTTTTCCAATTGCATATTATTTCTCACGAAGATCTTTAACGATTTCCCTAATCTTACACATTCTTCCAACATACTCATTCTATTCATCTGCGTTAGTTTATATACTAACTGCCTAAAATATGATACAATTCATTGGTTATTTTATCGTACTAGAGAAAAAGTTCTTATTTTAACCAGAACAAAGTGGCTGGTTTGTAAACTAACCAATTATTTCGGTTAATTTATGTACTTTAAAAAAAGTGTGTAAATTATCCAAACTTGTACGGTAGTTTATAAACTAGCTGGGCAGTTTATAAATTAACCAAGAAACCCTGCTAATGTAAGAGAAAATAGTTTTTCGTCTATAATAACTAGCGACTTGGTTAGTTTGCATAACAACTAGTTAGTTTGGTAACTAGCCGAGTATTCACTTTAACCGTAACATATACAAACGATCTCCAAGACTTCCTTTGAGAAGTTGCAGTAACTCTTTACGCTGATGACACTTGTATCATTGTACAATTAGAGAAATTACGTTCCGTACAACGTATTATCCGTTAACGTATACAATTCCAATAGGGACACTGCATTTTCTATGTTTCCATAGGTATAACAGTTTTTCTACGTTTTGCGTGCTGTAAGCTAATTGTATATTATTAGGATGTTTTTCGTAGCTTGCAAGTACCTCACAGATGTTTGTTTTCAAAATATCTTTATAAGAAAATATCTTGTGACCAAAGACGAAACTCTGACTTGTCTTGAAAGTTGTTTAGAAGGATGTAACTTTTTATTAGAATCGAAAGATAACGACAGAGATTACCACAAAACGACACTGTTTCAAAATTGGAGGGTCAATAGGATTATTCTTGTTTGAACAAGTTGCAAAGAAAATGTGTGGTGGTAATGGACACACCAAACCATTCAGTACAGTTAGACAAACCTCCCACATTTTTTAACAGAAACAGTCAAATGCAAGATGGGTTGCGGGATTGAATTCAATATTTTCGATCTAATCGGAACAAAGAATTTTTCCAAGAAGAGACATTACGGGAATGGTCATGAGGTCATTAGATTGTCACTATATCGTAACAAATGGGAAATTTGTCGTTTGAGAACATATATTTCTTGTTCTATTTGACAAATCTGACTTAGAATCAGGGAGAATGAAATTATTAGTAAGTAAAAATTATAGCCTGACCAAGAAGTATTACCTTAGTAATTGCTAATTATCAACCGACATGGTTGATAGTGACATTTAACTTCAATCAAAATTTGTTTTTGATAATTTGGATCAGATTTGGCAACAGCAGCACAAGAAAAATTTCTCAAAATTAGTTCATTCTATTGCCAACTTAATCAGTATTTGTTGATCATTCAGTGGAGCTCTTAATAACAATAATAATAATAATAATAATAATAATAATAATTTATTGTCCAACAGAACATACAGTTCCAATTACAGGAAGATATAAACAAATAATAAACTAAAATAAACTAACAAAAAACCTAAAATGTAATCTAAATAAACCCAAAAATAATTCTAATCAGTACCGGTTAACACTGAAATAACAAAAAGATGAAGAAAGAATTCCTTGAAGTTCTAATTAACACCAAAAACTTCATGTATTGCTATTTTAAGGTTGACCAACTTACAGCTAAATATATCAATACCACGTTCTTTATCTCTTTTGTTCAACAAACAATTAACAAAATAAACGGGACTTTTCCTACCAACATTCGTCCTAGGATTAGGACAATAAAATGTAGTTGCGTATCTGTTATTAATCATAGGAACATGAACATTTAAGTTTGCAAGAAATTCAATACAGTGAATGTTATTATTGAAATTTCATACAAAAAAAAAATGCATAAGTTTTACGCCTGTAAAATAATGAGTTTAAGTTAAATTTAATTAACAAGGCTTCCTGTGAATAGTTCCTTTCCGGCCAACGATTCTCCGCTTTAAAAAACATGTACTTTAAAAATTTATGTTGGATGTTCTCGAGTAGATGAATCTGGTAATTGTAATAGGGATACCAAGCTAGTGAGCAATATTCCAACTTCGGACGGATTAGTGCAGTATACAACATTTTTCGTGGCATCAATAACTAAGTTGTTAACGTGATTCTTAAAATTAAATTGCGTACCCATCATATACAACTCCCAAGTCTTTAATTGAAGAACATCGCATCAAGATATTGTTGTCTACACTATTATGAATCACTAACGAGGAAAGATGTAAAGAATAGGATACAACCTTTCATTGTCCATATTAATATCCGACGACTATTTAGTTATGCTATCAATATCTTCTTGTAGAACGTCAGGTCAGTACTAACAGATGAATACATTTTTATGTCGTCTGCGAACAAGATTTTGTAGTGTCTAACAAGATCGACAATGTCCTTAATGTAAACAGAAAATAACACAGGTCCCAGATATATAACCGTTAATTTCGACGACATTCACCCTCTCAACCAAGTACGATTCCAAAACCTTAACAAGACCATCGGAGAAACCAATAGGTACTGGATAATTTCTGGAGTAAAATTCGATAGTTTACTCTGTCAAAAGTTTTGGAGTAATCAACATAAATAACATCTAACTGACCTCTGGTGTTTAGTGTCTAGATAACCTGTGGCATACAGGTTAAGTTGGTTAGTGTTGACCTACCAGTCATAAAGTCCTGCTGACGGAACGAATTTGATCATATATCACTCTTTCAAAAATGTTAGTTGCAGTAAGCAAATTGGTCTGTATTTAGTGATGTCTTGTGGATCACCGCTTTTAAAAACAGGTACTACTTGGCTTTTTTCCAAACTGTAAGAAATTTGAGTTGCTTAAAATCAGATTGAAAATGGACGATTCTTAAAGACACATGAGCAATTCTTGATGTAAAGCTTTAATAGTTAAATGAATCTTGCTAGAGGGTAGTCGATGTTTCAAACTTAAAATACCACTGATAAAGTTAATTTTCGATAGCAGGTTTATCATCCGAAAAAGCTTTTAGGCAACTTGCAAAACACCCATGAAGAAAAAATGCTAGTACAATTGATAAATAAAAAATTGCACAAATATTGACAAAATTTTACTGAAAAGAATTTAAAGCGTGATTACTCAATTATTTACGGTGACTTAGAAAACACTTCTAAATCGCACAGTAAGTTTGTAACCCTTGAAATGGAACTTAAGCTTTCAAGTACCTCAAACATTTGACTAACAAACATACGAAGTTGCACATCATAAACACAAGTTTTGCAATGCAGAAGTTGATTTCTTAACTTCATTCGAATTATATTTCCGTTTTAGCGTGTTAGTTTAATAAACTTTAAGTTATCTTAAGAAACCGTTGGATAAAAAGAACCTGAGACCTAACTATATTTGCATGCTACACAAAGTTTTTTCCTTTCAAAGAACAAGTTTTCTTACTAAGAAATAGCATGAAAAAAGAACAATGGATAGTTCATTTTCTCTTTTCATAGCTGAACTTTTCATAAAACGACTTGAGATGTAGTTGTAAGAAGTTTTCATCTTTTTCACATATACACACGAGATAAGGATTTATAATTAATCAATATGACAATATCAAATTCTCGTACTGGCCAGAGAAAAACGAACATTGTTAGATTGTTAACAATCCCCAACAGATAAGGATAAGTTTCAAATCACCTCACTTTCCATTTAAATGGGGGAATAGGTTTGTCAAGAAGCTTGCAATCAGTGCTTTTAATATAGAAAACATCATTACTACGATTAAATTTAAAACGTGATCCCCAGATTTTACACTTTTCAAAATACTTTTGATAAGACAAAAAACAGACACTTTTAGTCATATTTCCTTTTATTCTTTGAACTATGAAATATTAGAAATATTTAAGAATGGCGATGGAATTTTAATTAGAATTAAGTACATATTCTGCAATTGCTCTAGTTCTTTTGCACCTGCACCAGTTGTGTAAAGTTTTATAATATTTGTTAGAAAAATATTAGTCGGCTTGAAGCCTCATACTACTTTCTTCGGGGTTTGTTGTTACACTTCTCTGATTTGATACGTAAATTATGTATCTGTTTTTATTTTTATTTCGCCTCGCGATCTCAGATTGATGGAAAACGCAGAAGCAAAATTCATAAGATCATTACTTATTCCTGCAGCTGGCTAGCTGGCATCTGATTCAACGAAACCCAAAGTCTAAGGTCTCACTGCTGTCTGAGATCCGAAACCCGATGTTCGGGACCCGGTCTAAACCTAGTGTCCGACGTACAACTGGAACCTGACCAAAACCTAAGGACTAACATCCTGACTAACGGACACTATTTTGTTCACTATCATTAATATATGACAAAGATAAACTCTTCAAAAGAGTGTATTCAAATTCCGTTAAAGCTTTAAGTTCCATGCCGGACAACTGTCCGACTAAAAACGGTATCAGATCAACGATATTTTTCCTAGTCGCCCGAACCCATCTGAACAAAGCACAGGTGTTGTCTACCCATAACGAAATTCGGTCTGGGCCGAGCTGGTTCAGTCGCAAACTGAAATCAAAGGAATAATTCGATCAGATAAAGTGTGCACTTTGCCGATTTGTTCGGTCCAATGCAGCGGCGTCCGACTCAACACTCCCGGCTGGACCGAGACCCGAATCCTGGTCCAGGTTCTGAGCTCTAGACCCGAAGGGAGCTCAAGTGTCAACGTTCTAAATAGGATGTTTCTATCCCGATTAGAGCTCGAGTGTCAACGATTTAAGTAAAACGTTCCTCTCTTAAAGAGTCCGGTTTTGTTTACATGTTTTGATATAGATTTGTTGAGGTGCATTTCGAATAATGAAAATAAATTAGACATTATTATTATTACTGATGTTAAAATTTTGGCAAAGTTTTATAATAGTTTAAACTAAATAGTTTGTTTAATGTCCAAGTTCGATGTTGAACATCCGTCGAGTTGGAACTCGATACCAAGCCGAGAGTAGTTTGTGAAGTATAACGTTGCAAATAAAATGTCTCCTGTGTGAGTAGGGCAATAAACAAGTAAACTAATACGAATACCTAAATAATCTTCGAGTGGCTTATGCAGATTTATAAGATCTTTGAAAGAAAAAAGCACACAACAAACGTTTAGAAGGTTGTCGCATCTTCTTCTTTTCTTGTAGCAGAAATCTGAATAAACCACAGAGGGTATTTCTCTATTACTGCCTTATTCAGTACTTAAACCAAATTTAAGTTGCAAGACAAGTTTAGTAAAATAATAACGTATTTGTCATCCGTCCAGTCTAAAACGTCCACTGAACACTAAATAATTATAAACTACTAGTTGATTTGAAGACAAACAGCAATAAATCTTACAAAAAATCTAGATGATTTAAATTTACTCAACTAATCCACTAAAAGAACTGTATTTCCGGTTTGTATGTTTAGCGTTCTAAAAATGATTGCAATGCATTCGATTAACATTTGCGTGTAAATATTTGTTCCACGTGTTTGGAATGCACGCTCCCAAACTGTTGAAATAACAACACATGTAATGGTCCCTGATGGAACACTTGTTATCTTTATTAATCACTAAATTTCATGACAATTGTGTTACTTTTTTAACGTAAAAATCTAAATAAAATCTGGCTTTGCATTACTAAGTCTCTCAATTACATAAAATCTTGTACTCTCTCTACATTCAAAATTACAAGATTATTGGACTGGGACACAACCTGATGTTGTGTAGAACGAACTATAAGAAGCTCATGCAGGTCCTACCACATATGCGGCGATTCTTTGTCACTGCAACATTTGTCGTTTGGATTTCCATGTTTCGTTCGTTTGCTTGTTCATTAAAAGGTGGATCAGGAAATGTTTAGAAGCCAATGGTGGAAATTTGCATGATTTGTTGTAAATTTCTTTATTAAACAAACACATTAACAAGAAAATTAATTTTAATTCAAGTTTCCATCATTTCACTTTGATATAATGTCATTTTTCACATATTGTGTCGATGTAAATGCAGACATACGTCTTAATGACAAAATACAATGAACAAGTTACTACAGGTTTTTAATTTGATACCTTCTTAGATTGGTACCTAATCTACAATTTACAATTTTAATATTGTTATTGTCACATAATCAATTCTTTTCAAAAATGTCGTTAAATTTTAAAACTTAGATTGGGACTTTGAGATGAAAAAACGTCGTCTTTGTTTTCACAAAGAATATAAGATAAGATATACATGTAAAAGATAAGAATAGCAGTGTCATTAGTTGTACGTAAACGAAATAACTAAAGAATACATCTAGAACAAACGTGAATAATTCCTCTAAACTACCTACTAGTAAGTGAACACTTGGTGATGTTAGTTATAAAGTTGTTAAGGTGAAATGAACGTGTAAAATTAGTTAAAATTTATTTATGCATATGTCGGCAACATAAATTGGCGAATACAATTATAACATAAACTTCTTCAAATGCTAAGAAGAACAAATATGTAACTGTTGTTATACGTAAAGGAAAACAACTATCTAATATTGGTAGCATAATATGAAAATCGAAAATTGTAACTGAAATAACTTTAACGAGTGAGGAATAAAACAACTCTGAATTCAAATAACAAATCCGAGAACTGTTAAATAGCATATGTTCGTACAACAATATTTGTAGTACTAATGGAAATTAAATGCATCTGTGGTTCTAGCAAATTATTCAGTTTCAATTTATTCAATTACCATGCTGTTAAAGTGATTTAATAGAGTACGCAAAATTACTGACAAAGTTCAGACGTATTAATATAAATCATGTATTTTTTTGCAAAATTATGTAGGGTGGAAACACCGCTAAAATTCGAACATCGTAGAATTTAATAACATATTATGTTTATAACTGTTGTAACTGCAGGATCATTTACTTATTATTGGTGGCTATCTCACTTGATTTCATAAAAAAAATTTTAATCGTCTGCCAAATTATGTGACAAACCTGCATCAAAATCAGTTTAAAAAGGCCTGGAAAAATTCTTTTTAAGTAAAGTGTTGTTTTCTTACTAAGATTATTTTGTGTGTGAAGTGTCTCAATAACAGTATCTCTTTATGATATTTTTAACTTGTCAATGGTACATTAGAAGTATTTACAGTATTTACCTATAAC